AATAAAAAAGAAAGAAGAAAAGGACTCTCAAAGAACAGCAATGGCACTGCTGATGCTGCAATAAATCTGGAGTAGAACTCATCAACCCAGTCGCCAGACCCTCTCCATTAGCTCTGAGTGCCAGGTACCAGGGAGCAAGGAACATGGAAATGTCTGACCCTGACAACTGGGATGGCAGCGGGGCAAGGGAAGGCCGAAGGAATAGGGAGGAAGGGGTCAAGTGACTAGTTTTCCATTAAGAGCTTGACTGTTTACACATATTTGCCAAGAGATAAAAGGGCTTACCCTGTCTTATCTCAAACCTAAGTATACAGTGGTACCACTTCTAAGAAACATGTCATAACTGAAGTTAGAGATGTTTGAGATTTGACCTCCCTCTTTTTTAATGTTTAATGAAGTCCTCTAGAGACTGTCTAGATGTTGAATCCTGTTAAATACAACTTGTTCTGTTTAACATAAGAGTTTTGGGGAGCCATATATATCTCTAACACTCTTACCTGAAAATCTGAATCTCATTTCCAGTGGCATCTTTACATTTGAACAAATTTGAACACAGAGACTCCATATTTACATAAGGTGTTAAATGTAAAACTTATCCTCATCTTTTTAAACAAAATAATTTGGTTTTACAAACAATTTTGAAAGTATAAAGACTTTCTCTATTTCTTTATTATGGAGAAAAGTAAAATGGAGATTGAATTGGGAAGTGAGGTATTAATCAACTGCGTGAGTTTGGACAGAAAATTTAAATGCTGGGTGGATTTCATCATCCGTCATGGAGGGGTAGATACAGACTGGGTTCATATCCAGGTCATTTTCAGCTCTACCATTCTCTGATGTCTTAGGCCAGGGACTAAGCCTTAAGACAGCTCTGTAATTTCCCTCTTCCTTCCAGATCTACAGAACCAGGCATGGGTCCTCCTAGAATTTGTAAAATAAGCAGATTTGGAAAGTAAACTTAGTCAGGGGTCATTATCCTCCAGCCTCACTATTCCCGTACACACACACAGAGTGCATTACAAAAAGTTAACAGAGTGCATTACCAAGTGTCCATCAACAGATATTCAGGGACGCTTCAAACCATTCAAGGTCAACATCTGCACCCACGGCATAAAGCTCAGATATTGTTCCTGTTCAAAAGAGTCCTCCCTAATCTTCCTGCCCAGCTCTCCTCGGCCCCATTTATACCTTGCCTCACCAGGTTGGGAATCAGGAGTGAAATATGTTATGGAAAATTAAACACAGAAGGATTTTTTATTTTCAAATGTGAAATTTAGATTTGAATCTCATTTCATTAGAAGAAACCTGTTGTCCCAGAAATCTATTGTTGTTGTTTAACTACTGTAGCCCTTCTCTATCATTAATGCTCCCCATTAAAAGAGCTGACAGCAATTTAGTACTTTAGTATCTCCTCCTTTTTTCTGACCCTGCTACCTACTGGACATTTTTTTCCCTTCCAGTTGACTGGAAAGACACTGAAGCGACAGCCTCCCCAGTGCCTTCTTTGTAATAGCCTGACCACACTTGACCAGTGGGGTCCCCAGTGTGAACTGTCTACAATAAGGGTTTGAAATGCACTATCAAGTTCTTGATATCATCAATCATCAGGAGCTATACAGATTTTCTTTCTCCTTTTGATTTTAAAAGTTATTTTTGAAAAGTATTTTACTTGGACAGGAATAATACCGATGCATGCAGGAGATTAAACGCAAAGTTATAATCATGATCTTTATGACACACTTTGTAAGACATCTCACCATTTAAAAATGTCTTTGAAAACAATCCAGTGTAAAAATGCTCAAAGAACTTGAATAAACATTTCTCCAAAGAATATATACAAATGGCCAATTGAGCACATGAAAAGGCTAATCCTTAAGGAAATGTAAATTGAATCCCAAAGAGATACTAATTCACACCCATTAGTATGGCTACTAACAAAAACAAACTAACAAAAAGCCTCCAGAAAATAACAATGTTGGTGAGAATGTGGAGACAAAAAAGAACCACTGTGCACCGCTGGTGGGAATGTAAAATGGTACAGCTGCTGTGGAAAACAGTACTGGCAGTTCCTCAAAAAAGTAAACATAGAATTAGCATATGATCCAGCAATTCTACTTCTGGGTACTCAAAAAAGAAGTGAAAGCAGGGACTCAAACAGATATTTGCACACCCATGTGCGCATTATTCACAATAGTTAAAATGTGGAAGCAACCCAAGTGTCCATCAACAGATGAGTGAATAAACAAAATGTGGTATATACATACAATGGAATATTAAAAAAGAAGGAAATTTGACACATGATACAGCATGGATGAGCCTTGAAGACATTGTGCTAAGTGAATTAAGACAGTCACAAAAAGACAAATAATATATGATTCCACTTATATGAGGAATCTAGAATAGTCAAAATCATAGACACAGAAAGTAGAATAGTGACTGGGGGAGGAGGGAACGGGGAGTTAATGTTTAATAGGAACAGAGTTTCAGCTTAAGATGAAAAAGATCTAGAGGTGGATGGTGGTGATGGTTGCACAATAATGTCAATATACTTAATGCCACAAAAAATGATTAAAATGGGAAGTTTTATGTTTTATATATATATACATATATATATATATATATATATTTATTTATTTATTTCTTTGTATTTAGAAAATGTCTCTTGGAACCTCTGAGGGAGTGGCAAAGATCAAGAATATGCTAATCTTTCCTTATGCCACTCAGGAAAAAAAAACATCTGAGTACCTACTATGTCTCAGGCACTCACATATCCATACACAAAAACAAAATAAAAGTCAACAAAACAAAAACTACTACATTGGATATGTACTATTAACCCCTCTTTACAATGAGGAAACCAAAGTTCATTAAGTTATCGTAACAGGTCAAGTAGTAAGAACCAGTGGTAGGATTCAAAGGAAGATCTGCCTGACTCCCAAAGCCTGCCTTCTTTTCACTCCATGATTTTATTGTCTTCTACCCACAGTTGTCTTTTCGAACCGGCTTTCTGCTTTGACTTTTATACTCAAAAGTTGGGCCTGCTTTCTGAAGTAGTGTAAAAATGTCAGTCAACCCAATACACTCACTATGTGCCCACCATATGAGCCCCAGGGCTGGCCATGAAAGAATGGAGTCATGTTTCCACTCACCCAGTGGCCATATGGCAGGAAAAAAAAAAAAAATTCAATTAAAATTTCAGTGTTGGTTGACTCCCTCAAAAGCCACTGAGTACCCTGGGCAAAAGCATCATGCCTTTCAATATTCCATATAGCGAGAGTCAGTGTAAATAGTCTTATTTTACAGCATAGGAGCATTTTAATCCTTTTCCTAAACCTTCTACCATTATAGTTACTGATCTGCTGTTACTCACTAATGTGCTTCAAGCTGGAATTTAACAATTAAGGAAATGTTTTGTGCTGTGCAGAAAATAGGCACCTCTTAGTTGTTTTCTGACAGAGAGCAGGGGGCTGTCTTGACTCTCCCGTGCCTATGGGACAAGGTTTCATTTTCATACTCTTGTGTGAAACGCACAGAGAGGAGGAACGCAGATTGTCTACACATCCCCACACAGAGCAGGGTGTTGGCATTATCTAGTGAATAAACCCTTCAGATGAATAAATACCAAAGGATGAGCTCCATTTTCATTCATACTGACTAGATTCTCAACTTTTTACTTCATTTAATGACAGGCAGCTTGGCCATAGAATGCCAGTTAGGGGAATTCTGGATTCAAGATCTCTCCTAGCTCTCCTCTCTGGGAAAATTATCTTTACATATTTACTTTAGGAGGCAAATGGGAAGTTGAACTATGGAATATGCAGTGTGACTTGTTTTGCCCACAGGTTTGATTAAACACAATGAATCGGTCAGGGGAGCTCCATGGTTTCAACACAAGCAATGTTTTGCCTCTTAGACAGCACTGGTTTGATTTAATAAGTAACCTCAGAAAACTAGACATTTTTTTTTCCCCCTTTGGTACCAAAATAGTCTTCTCTCAAAATGTGCTGCTGCTACACCAGAAATTTTGAGGAGCCAAACTAATTTTATAAAATGGCATTTAAAAAAACCCTTCACAATTGAGAATGATGATAAATGAGGAGGCATATATACTCTCTATGGAATATTTAGTGTTTAAAAAATTATATTTTAAGAATTTGTTAGTGTCTAAATACAACCTTTTTGTTATTGCTACTCCACTATAAGCAGTCCTTTCCTCTGAAAATTTATCTCCTTTTATTCTAAAAACTCAAGAGAAAACCTTTTATCAATGACCATTTATTGTTTAACCACACTTTCTTTTGGAGACAAAGCTGAATTTTTAAAACCAGCTACGCTAGCTACGCTAGGATTTTAAACTCTCCTACATATCCTGCCAGAGGAATCCACAATCTCATTTCTTATCCATTAGACCTATTTAATGCACTTTTACATATCATTCATAAACCCGAACAAGTCATGGTCCTAGATTCTTATTAAGAGCATCCACCGCTCAAGATAATCAAAGAATAAAAATCACCTTCTAATTTTACTATTTCAATCTATCTATGGTGTATACAGGTAAGGAAACAACCCAGCAGCACTTCTACATTTTGTCCCTCACTGAGGTTAATACGCGTCTTGACCTAGAGATGAATAAAATCCATATAAACATTAAACCCACATAGACACCAATATCTGATTCTGAACTAGTTAAACCCGCCACTCTCCTCTGAGAAAGGATGCAACTTTAGGATAAGACCTACTGGCAAATGGTAGCTGTTTCTGAGGTTATCCTGAAAGCAGCTGCACAGAGCAGAGGGAGGAAGACACCCTGTTTTAATGGTAAATACTGCCCCTCCATACGCAATTCCACCGCCTTTGTTGGCAAATTCTGAGTACAAAAGGATTTAATGCCCCTCTCCAAAAAAAGGCCAAATCGCAGTCAGTATGCTGCAAAAGAGAAGATACACGAGTGCAATGTGTAGGAAATATAATGCAATTGTTTTACACCACATACACACCTAAAACAGGACTGCAACACTCAGATGATCCGCCAACAAGCTTCACAGCCCCAATTGATTTCAACTCAGCCTCGCTTTTCTTCCTGAGAAAACTATGCAAACAGTTCCTTACATTTACTGTGTTTTCTTGACAAGTCTCTAAAGTTAATGATAATCTTTTTTTTTTAACAGAATGTGTCACAAATTTGGTCATTCTCAAAAGCCCTTCTCAAAGAACCCAGTCTAATCATTTCCCCCAATCCTGAAACAATGTCCCTAACTTCCCTTAGAAATTTCCTTTAAAACCGCAGACAATGGTCATTTTTCTCACTTAAAAAGGAGAGACATGAAAAGCTTTTCCTTTACCTCGGCTCTGAGGCTGGTCAGATAAGAGTGGCTCTTCTCTCTCCGAGCCGATCTGTGCAGGCGAGCTCCGCCGCAGCCCGCCAGCCCAGCCCAGCCCAGCCCAGCCCAGCTCAGCAGTAGTAGGAGCTGCCCACGGAGCGGCGGCCGTTGTGTGTATGTGTAGCAGCGGCGCCTGCAGCCCAGGGACTAGTCCCCACCCAGCTTTGTTCATCGTTCTTTCTACAGGAAGCAGCACATCTCCCACTTCCTCCTCTTCTTGGTAGCTGTGAGCTGCTTTCTTCTTTCCCTCTCATTCCATTTAAGGGCTTACTCGCAGTTTCACCTTCTCCTGGGCTCCTGACACTAATTTGACCTGAATCCTCTTTACCCCTTTGTTCCAAGTCCCTTTGCTGCTGTCTTTTCCTTCCTTCCCTTTCTTCCCTCACCCTCACCTCCACCACTGCTTCCAGCAACTGCCTCATCGGCCCCCTTTCCAGCACACACTCTGATTTGTTAGCCTGAACTTGGCTTGTTGTTGTTGATACTGCTGCTCCTGTGTTGTTTCGTTTTTTCTTGTTTTCGGTCAAGAGCTCCTGGCCAAGTTCTGGCCCTCAGATCCAGCACCAGCTTCAGTAGCTCCTTCTGATTTATAGACCCTCTCAAATTGGCTATCAGGGAACTTGCAGCTTCTTGCTGCAGCATTTTTCTCTGGGGCCGACATTCCGAATGGCTAATTTCTTCAAGGTCTCACTACCACTGAGATCTTGCTTAATCCGTATAACTCAGAAGAGAATGGCCCTGATAAGTATTCTTGTGCCGCACAGGAGCTAAACCGAGTCCTGCAATGCTACCTGTTGCCTAACAATGAAGTGTTCCAAGATCCTTGATGGTGGGGAGAAGGTCCTAAATGCTATATAGTCCTAGCCCAGAAATAGAACCCTCTTCCCCTCCCCGCCCCCACACTGATAGAACTGAAAGGACCCTCATGGCCAGCCAGTCCTTTGGGGGGTGGGGGGTGTAGTGTTATGGATAAAGGTAGAGACTAGGCAGTCTGTCCACCGGAATTTGAATCCAACCTGTTATTACCAACTGTATCAACTTGGGCAAATTATTTAACTTCTACGGGCCTGGATTTCCTCATCTACGAAATGGAGATAATTATAGCTCTACTCTCCAGCAGAAATCTGAGGATTAAATGAGATAATTCCTGGAACATAGGAAGTGTTCAATATATATTAGGTCTTATTATTTTTTAAAGGATGTTGTTCAGAGAAGGCAAGTGACTTTGGCAGTCAGCAGCCTAACCGGGACCAGTACTTAGTTTCCAGGTTCCCCCCAGTTAGTATATTCATGACTAAACCCTGATGGTCTTGGTGAAAATTTATTCAGCTTGCAAGTCATTCTTCCCCAATACGAACACAATGTGCTTTAGGGAAGCTACATATTAAACACAGGCTGGGGGCAGGGGAATCCTCTATTGCCAGGCCACCTGGTTAAAAAACCACTCCCCAGGAATCAGTGCTTGGAAAGCTAATCTTCCTCAGCAACGGAGTTAATTCTCCAGCTCTACTTTTTAAATCCAGTCTTAGCTTAACCCTTCAGCAAGTAAACTAACAGGAAATGTTGGAAATCGAGGGCTGATGCAGGATAACTGGATCATCAGGGAAGTCACCAGGTGGGTCTTCCTAATCCAGCTGGGGGACCACAGCATATTAGCCTGGAAGGCACAGAATTTAATTTCTATGAAATGTTCTGAGACAGTCCCAAAACACCCTTTGTTTTCATGTGACATTCCATGAACAGAGTTTGCTTATTTCTTCCTGGAAATTTTTTATCAAAAGGACCCCTGATGTCAACTCACTGACATCAGAAATTACAAAATGGATTGTTTTAAGATTAAAAATGAGGAACTGCTTTTGAATCATCAGCAAATAGGACTGTAAGAATAGGTGAGGACTGGACATAGGTTCCCACAGCCTCCTGCAATCCCATGAAGATCAGACATGAATTACCTCCAACTCAGGAGTCTTGGTGCCAAAGGTTACCAGAAACTTTTATATATAAAATTTAAAATATATATGATACCAAGTCTACAAAAAATGAGTAGCACAATTATTAATGGTTGGAAAGAATACAGAAACAAATCTTTAGTTAATTTTGGATTAGTGGATTCTGGCATTAACTCTGAATTCAAACAGGTCTTTTTCATTTTTTTTTTTTAACTCTCTCTCTCTTCCCTTCTCACATTCTCTCTTACCATCAGAGCGTGGTTGGTACTTATCTTTTTGTCCATATAGGAAAATCTCTTTCAGACAATAACATCTCTAGGAATCTGGCTGCCTTCTGATCAGTTCTTCATCTTTGGCCCTTACAAAGTTCTTAGTAGGTTAACCTGGCCATTGCCAACCAACCACCCTTCAAAGCCGAAAACTAGATTTTAAGATCTTTTTCTTCCTGCCATTAACCTCGTTGCTCTCAAGTGGTCCCAACAGCCTCTTTTTCTGGAGAGAAAAGCAAAATGTGGAAGGTGTAGATTGGCTAAGAGAGCAAATTAATCCAGTTCAGAGCTTTTAACATAAGTATGGTAGTTATGCATACTAAGTCTGCAAAGTGTTTATTTTTTAGGAGATATAATTACATTTCACCATTAACAGTTCATGCAACTGTTCAGTAACCAAATATGAACCTATCCTTGATACGTTCGATCAATGCATAAATCAAAAACCTGTAAAATACTCTAAAATTCATCAATGGCCTTATTTGTAGGCATTAATACCTTGTATTTCTTATACCTAGAGGCTAGAGGAGGTAGATGGAAATGAAGAGAAACATCATTTTGGCCTGATATCACTCCTGTATTATTGAGCATTCTAGCCGGATGTTTCTTTAATATTAACATTCTCCAATACATATAAATAGATCTTAAAAGCATGTTCTCCTTTCTATATCTTCATTTCATTTAATGAGGAATACAAACCAATTGTCCATAGCAGGAATATAATAATAATATCAGAACCACTTGTCTTTCTTATGCTATATCTGACTTAAAGTTTCTCATCCTTTCATTCCCACCATCAAAACTATCTCTTTGGCCAAACCCTTCTACTCTATTACCCTCCTGCGGTCCTATTACATAAATTCTTTGAATTTCTCTATATGACTGTAATACTCCCACCTACCTCCAGTATCTCCTCTTAGCCAGGACCACTAAAAGTAGTTTTCTAAAACAGAGTTAAGCATGTCACTGCTCTGCTAAAATTTTTCAGTATCTCCCTTTCCCATTGCTTACAGAATACGAGTCATAACTCCTTTGCATGGCATACAAATCACACCCAACTACACTTTAACCTTATTATCTAATCCATTGTAACTCACATCGACCCATCCCACATCCACCTTAACAGCAAATTTCTCATGAGACCATGCTCTTTTCTCCTCTACATTTTGGCATATTCTTCTCCTTTTGCCAGAAATGCCCTTATTCATTCCTCCATTTTGTCTGCTGGCAACCCCAACTTATCGTTTCAGACTCAGTTTCTCTCGGAAGCCTTCCCTGACCATGCAAACAGAGCCTGGTGTGTCTTGCTCTGTGAGTGCTGGGTGCATTGCCCCTATGCCATTTCAGCACTAACTGCATTGTTTTAATGAGTTGTTACTTATCCATCTCACTCATTAGAATTTGAATCCCTTAAGGTTAGGGCCATGTTCCAGTCATCTTTCCTTGTCCCATAGTAGGTAGTTAACAGATGTTTGTTTAATGAAAAGGCATCATTAGTAGAAATTCTAAAACTGCTTTTTATTCCTTTGGGCTCCTGAGGAGAAGGTAAAAAGGGAGTTTCAGATATGAGAAGTTGGTCATGGAATAAGAAACAATAGTCCCTCTATTTTTCCTTTCTTTCTTTTACTTTCTTTCTCCCTTCCTTCCTTCCTTCCTTCCTTCCTCCCTTCCTTCCTTCCTTCCTTCCTTCCTTCCTTCCTTCCTTCCTTCTCTCTCCCTCCCTCCCTCCCTCCCTCCCTCCCAGAAAATTGTCTGCAGAAAATCATGGTACATGCATATCAAATTCTTTATATTTGTCATACAGGTGACCCTAAAGAACCTTAGGGTAACTCCTGGTTCTGTTTCTGCCCTGAATTGCTTCTAAAGAAGCATAGTCTGGCAACAAAAAGTAATTTACAATTTTTAAGAGAAATAGAAGAAAAAGAAAGCTATTCTTCACTTGCATTTCTGGATGAACTTTAAAGAGACAAATTTATAAGCCAGAAACGCTTTTCACATTCCCCCCTGCACTCTCCAGTTTTTGCCACCTCACAGCTGTCCCAGAGCTTCTCATATGTCAAATCCCCCAACTCTTCCTCTAATCTCTTTACAGTATTTATCGTTCCCCTCTCCCTCCTCTCCCCTTGCCATGCCTTGATTGACTTGTCCTCTCTGGCTAAGCCCTTCTTACTTTTCAGTTCATGTCTCAGTTTCGGTCTCCTCTATCTCTCTTTTTACCATTGTATCAGAAAGGACCCACACACTGTACCAGCAGTGGCACTCCTTGAGTGCACGTGTGGGCTGTGATGAAGAGAGAAGAGCGCAATGGGAATAAGGTGAATTCATATATTAACAAATCTTATCCACTCGTATACATTGATGATACATTTAATGGCTTGCTTAATTGTTGTGCCAAATAGTAATTAAGAATAAATGAATCATTGAGCTATTATTTTATCACAGAAAAATTAAAAAAAAAAAAGAAATTCCAAGCATTTCTTGGATCAACTAAAGGAAATAGAAGTCTTTCTAAAGACTTCTTCAAAAAAAGGCATAATCATGATCGGACCTGTGTGTCACAGGATCATTCCCTCCCCTTAGATATCTGAGCAACCCCCCAGCTTTTAGGAGCCAAGAAGACTGAATCATATTTGGTTTAAAGAGAGTCAGGAGGTAGGGTAGACAGAACTAATATTTCTTAAGAGACAGTTGCTGACCCTCACAAATGAAAAATGTCAGTCTCTGTCTCATAGCCCAGAATAAAAAGCTAGTAAGTCAAGGGCTTTGCAGAGTGATAGCCAGCTCTTCCTCTGGAGAGAGCAAACTTTTAGAAGCAAGAGTTCTCCTTTTTCTTTGCCCTGGGCAGGATTAACTAGGGGATTA